CTTAATCTGTAAAAGATAATCCAAGACCTATAGACAAAGAGAATGATATGTGGATAATGTGTTTGCAGTCAAATCAAAATTAAAAAACAAGATTTAATGTCAAATGCACACACTTATATGTCACGACAGGGTCAATCTTTTGTAGCCCCTTTGTGATAGAAGTACGTAACACGTTCGATGAAAAAACGGAGAAGTCTATCGTATTGAAAAAAAAATGTTGGTATCGTTTCGCCATTACAAATTTTATATTTTTATTTTTGTCAAAAGTTTTATAGTTTATTTTTACAATTTTAACGGTTGTTTATAAATTTTAGGATCAATTCCTAATGACCCACAAAAATTATAATTTAAATTATGAAAGTTCTAAAACATTTTGTTCTAAGCAAACTTAAAAATTTAAATATCAGCTCATAAAATTTATAAAATTTAATATTATGGTACCAAAATTTTTTTTAGGGCTAATAGTAACTTGCACCTTAAAAGATCATTTAAATCTTAATTTGTACGTTCAAAGTTTAAAAATATCAATTTGTATCCTGAAAATATAAATTTGTATCAATATGCACTGGGGTTAACTACCGTCTATTTTATCATTAAAAAAGTTTGGACCAATTAAAAATTAAACCTCCAAAATTTAAATATTTCACATTTATGACCCAAAAGAATTTTATTCATTAATGTTCATTAAATAGCTATCAATTGTATTGTGTTGTAACATTTTTTTGTCGTGTTATTTTGTGTCGTGTCGTGTTCGATTCAATGAAAAAAATATTTTAATATAAAAATTATTTTCGTGTTAATTCAATTACGTTGTCTCGTATTTCACATTCACGATAATTCATATAATACTATTTAAAAATTATAAAATACCTATTTTTTACTTATAATATTCATTAAATAGTTATTTTCTATAAAAAGTAATACACGAAACTTTTAACTGTTCGATCAAATTAAAGTTAGATACTAATGACATGATTTAAGGGGTATTATATACAAAAATAGTTATAAAATACCTATTTTTTACTTATAATATTCGTTAAATAGTTATTTTCTATATAAAGTAATACACAAAACTTTTGACTGTCTGATCAAATTAAAATTAGATACGAATGACATGATTTAAAGGGTATCATATACGAAAAATAGTTATAAAATACCTATTTTTTACTTATAATATTTGTTAAATAGTTATTTTCTATATAAAGTTATACACGAAACTTTTGACTGTTCGATCAAATAAATTTATGTACGAATGACATAATTTAAGGGGTATTATATACAAAAAATAGTTATTTAACAAGTATTGTGGGTAAAAAATCGTGTAGTGTTATTTTGTGTCGTGTCTTGTTCGAGTCAAAAAAAAATATTTTAACATAAAAAATATTTTCGTGTTTAGTCAATTGCGTTGTGCTGTATATTTTACATTTACGATAATTCATATAATACTATTTAAAAATTATAAAATACCTATTTTTTGCCTATAATACTTGTTAAATAGTTATTTTCCGTCTAAATTTACACACAAAACTTTTAACTGGTCGATCAAATTAAAGTTAGATATGAATGAAATGATTTAAAGGGTATTATATACAAAAAATAGTTATTTAATAAATATTGCAGGAAAAAATAGGTATTTTATAAAATTTTAAAAATATTTTTTTAGTGATTCGAACACGGCACGAAAATGTTACGACACACACAATTAAAAATTATTTAACGAGCATTAATGGATGGAATTCCTTTGGATTATAAATGTGAAATATTTTAACTTTGAAGGTATAATTTATAATTAGTTTAAACTTTCATAACTGCAAAAATATATGGCAGTTAGTTTCAAGTACATATTGATACGAATTTATTTTTTTTAGATTATAAATTAATATTTTTAAATTTTAACGATATAAATTAATATTTGAGTGATGTTTCGGACTACAACGTGCTATTAACCCAATTTTTTATTCTTGGTTGTCTCTATAGAGGACTAGATAGTCAACGCGCGGCATATCTTTTGACTTTTGCTGCTTCCAAAACGCGTTCAATGTCTCTCTCTCACTCTCTCTCAATCGCTTTCCTATCATGTGCAAATACCTTTTTGACCCTCTATTTCAATCCAAATTACTACTAGACCAACGACTTGTTTCTGTGGTAGCTGTTGGCCTCTCATTCTCCGTTAAAAATCCAGCTTGTGTGATTTGGAATCCATCTTAGTAGTTCAACAAATCATACATTTTTAATCAATGTGTACTTTGAGTTTCTGCCATTTTCTGAGACAGTGGTGGAGAATAAATACTTTAGGTTGAGAAGCACATCCACAGAGGTTTTGTTACTTTTTTGTTTTGGATGCTGCATTATTGATTATTTATTATTATTATTATAAAAAAAATAAAAACTTTCGTTTGGTAGAAATGATGAAAAATTAGAAGAATAGAAAATAAATGGAAAATATTTTCCATCCCTAGAGGGAAGGAATATATTTTCCCTCATTTATGTTTGATATGATAGATGAAAAATTGAAGGGATGTATTTTCTTTCGTTTGGTATTTGATGGAAAATTGAATGGAAAAAATGCTTTCTATTGTTTCAGCACGAGCTTCTTGTTAATTTCTTTTTTGTCCTTTAACAAAATAAAAAAATAAAAGGGAGAATTCCAACGAGTTTCCCTGAGATTTGTCATTTGATTACTCAGACCCTTTTATATTTGAAATATTACACACAGACCTCTTGACATTTGAAATATTATATCAAATATTTTAAATTTTACAACCACAATTCATATTCTATTGTATCATTTATTGAAATAAAATTAAAAATAAAAATTTAATTTTTTCTTAAAAAATCATAATTAATATACAATTATACTATCTATTGAAATAAAACTAAAAAATTTCAAACAAGGGGTCTAAGTCATTCATAATCAAACATAAATTTTACATACAATATTCATGTTTTATTATGTCATTTATTGAAATAAAATCAAAAATAAAAATCTAATTTTTTGAAAAAAAAATCTTAGTTAGTATATAATTATACTATCTATTATAATAAAATTAAAAAATTAAACAAGAGGTTAAACTATAATAGATATTTTATTTTTTTGTGATAAAAATTAAAAATATAAAATATATTTGATAATTATTTATAATTAAAAAATTGTGAAAACAAAAATAAAAAATATGTTTAGTATTATACCAAAAATTTACCATCGAAACTCCACCACCCACCACCGAAAGTTTATTGTACCCACAAAAATATTTCGACATTGTACTGCAATATAAAAGTTTTTAGGACCCTTTTGTACTCTTTTTTTTTTAAATTGATTTATAACATCGATCCTAAATATCTAAAAATACATTTATTATAACTTAAATCTTAAAAATTATAATATGATTTAAAAAATTATAACTTTTATAAAATTAATCTTAATATTTTAGAATCAGTCCCAAGTTTCTTTATTATAAACAAACCTCTAAAATTTCCCCAAAACTTGGTAAAGTTGGGTACCCAAGTCGAGTCCGAATGAGTCAGACTTTGCAGACTCAACATTGTCCATGCACATAATCCCCAAATGTTTTTACCTTTTTTTTTCTTTATCTTTTTGATTTTCCCATCATAAGCATGGCTGATGATGTTTTCATGGTTTAATCCGATGTCAGTTTCTTACATGCACAAAACAGGGGTTCCGTTACATTTCAAGAGATTGGAAATAGAGTTGCCCATCATTAAATCTATTAGTAAGTATGTGATATTAGTTATTATTCCTAACTGGATATTTTAAATTTGAATTTTAATGCATAAAAATATAGGCATTTAGTTTCATGAGCCTCATTGCACTTTAGATGGAGATAAGGACAGGATTATCACATTCTGCATCAATTCCATGATGCATGACTTTGCCAAGAAATCTTGGAAGTGAGATATGGTACAAATCCATCAAAGAAAATTGCATCACAAGTCATATGCCAATGCCATGTGTAGGTATTTTGGCTTGAATTTCTTGACTCCTGAATACTGCAGATACTCTTTCGATGAAATCGTAAAACTAAATGATTCATTAGAAAAATGTGTGAAAGCTACTTTTTTTTTTCTTTTTTTTTTTGTATCACAGGGTTAGTGGCCACTCATTAGACTTATTCGGGTCTGTGTGCGACTCTTTAATTTTCTTTAGGGTTGCAATTTAACCAAAAAAAGGCTTGCTATAAACTAATAACCAAACTATTCATAAACAACCATAACTTCTCGTTATCTAAATCCAAAGAACCAGTCAAAACAAGATATATCGGCCATGGCATTGTGATGGCTTGGTCCAAATTTATGCTCATCGCTTCTGCTATTTATCCTTTATCCTCTATCAAAATACAAACATTACAGATGTCAAAAAACATGGCCCAGGAATTGTTTTTGGTGGCTTGCAAACGGCCAAAACCTAGAACCCAACCATAAAGGTTTTGTGAAGGATGAACGTCAGCGGTGATTTCAATAGATTTGATCATGGCTTTTACTAAGGGATTTAAAACTAGTTCTAGAATCATGTTTGAAAATTCTGCTTAGGTTTCCTAGGGAGAGTATTCTTTAAACTTTTCTTGTTGGAATGCATATATTTTTTTAAGCTTTTCAACAATTTTTTTTGCCAAAAGTGGTGGTTAGTCTTTATGAGGATAATATTAAGAGTTGGAAGTTTGTATGAGTTACTAGAGTTGAATCAATCAGCTATCTTTGCTTGTGTTTTGATTACTTTTTTCAAATCATCCGTTCTGTATGCTAGCTATGCTGTGTTTAGTGGACTACTTGAATAATTACAATGCTCCAGATCTATCTTCATGAACTTGTGACGGTTTCTTAACTTTCTGTAAAGTAGCTTGGGAAGAGTTCTGTTGTTTCTTATTTGGGAAAAGAAAGATGTATATAATGTTATATTCATTTGCTTGGAATTGAAAAGTCACCTTTTTCCTTCTGTCAAGAACTTCATGTAAGTTATGTCAGTTGGTTGACCCAATTCTAAGATGTTGAAGGATGTCCAGTTGGTCCCTTCCAGGAATATCTTATCTATTGCTTCCAGCAGCAACTTTATTATATGTTTGATTGTGAAGCCCAGTGATCACTTAAATAATTTGCTTGTAATCCATGTTTATCCTTCAATGCTCTTTCTGGCTCGTGCTGGTTGGTGTAGGCTTTAGATTATGTGAATCTTAGCTATTGTTAAGAAAGTATTTAAGAATACACTTCTACATTCTTGAAGCTCATCTTCCAGGATGATCCAGCTGTGTAGTTCAATCTCTTGCTCTATCATATGGGAAGGCTAACTACTGGATACCATAATCACAAGCTCATAATTTTAGTTTCCATGTATTTGGGTAGAACTAACTTATGTCTTATGTTTAGCTTTCTCCTTTTATTTAGTAGGGGAGGGTGTCGTGTTTGAGCTCTAGAGTCCTATCTTGTTGGTTCTAATTCTTTGTGTTGCAAGAAGATTCAGATTAAGCATGTTATTTACAGCAGGGAAGGAAGAAGAAGGGGAGTGGGAGACAAGTAGAATGTGATATGTCTTTTGCTCTACGAATCAGGATATGTTTTTATGTATTGCTTGTCACTTGTGCCTCTTGAAACCACTTTTCTTGGCAAAATAAGAGACATTGTGTCATAAAAAAATATTTCATACCTGAAAATTATTTGCGTGACGATGTTTACTCGTTCTTTGCTGGTATGAATACTGTTAGCTTCCATTTAGTTATGGAATCTGGTGAGGTTAGTAGTCTGTATTGTCTGGTTGTTTATATTTTGAAACAATTTCATAGAAGAATTGCATCTCTGGCACCTAGATTGTTTTTAATACATGTCATCTATCAAGCGAGGCGGTACTTGGCATATTGGTTGATTGTTATTAGTTAATTGCTTGTAACACGTGCCTTTGGTTGAACAAGTAATGGAAATTTCGAACCGGAAGATCTGTTGTGCTGTAAATTTTTTTGCTTGGGGAAGGATATCTTCAGACTTCATAATTTCCATTTGTCTTACAAAAATTTCTGCAGGCTATTACCTTACCATGCAGTTGCTGACTATGACGCCAAGGAGGATGATAAATCCTAGATTCTGACATGACAGGCCAGATGCTCTCCCGCTCCCAGCAGTGGGATCACAACATTGCTGCCAAAGTTGCAGAATTTACGGCCACATTTGAGAAGGAGGTCCTTGCCTTAAATATAATCTCCCGCAAGCGAGATCTTGGGGAGTTCCGATCAGAGGAGAGGTTAATAATTGAGCAGGCTCTTCTACAGGAAGAGAGGCGAGCCCTGATTGAAGTGTGGGCAGAAATAGGCTCAAGGCAGAAGGCATGTCGGGAGGCTCATGGGGCTAATTTGCGTAATGCGGCCATTGTTCACCCTGGGCAGGCTCATGGTGAGATTATAGTGAATATGAGGAGTTAATATATATCAAAAAATAATACTAATGGGCCTAAAGGAAAATATATATGTTTATGTTTACAAAAATTGAAAAAGGGGAAGAATGATTTTTTCCTTGTGTTTCACTTTCTCCCCCTAATGTCATGTTGGCACTTGACAACACTAAACAAGGGAGCATCAACCCCATACCATACTCCTATTTTCACCTTAGAATGGGGCCAATGCGTACACAATTGTGCCAGAAAATCTAACCCAGACCCAAATAACTCGTCCGATCCAGAAAGTGAACCCAAACTCGTCCGCTACCTGCTGTTGCAGTGTAGGTTCAGAAAAGAAACGCAATTTGCCTGTTTAGTGTAGCTCTGATCATGGATTATCATCGCCCAAGATCAAAACCCTAACTCTCCTTTCTTGGGGTCGTGGGACTACACCCTTCCATCCTATTTTGTCTACCAAACAAACTCTCTCTCTCGGATGGTGAATCTGACACTCGAGCATTATTGTCCTTGGATGAAGCAACAATAGCAATTGCTGCATCGACCATCATCACCGGCAAATCTCAAGCATCGTCATGGTCTCACCTCATTCTCACCCAACTACGACTCCATTCCTCATCCTCCTCCTCCTCTTCCCCTCGACCATTATCCACTTTACATCATTCTTTTCCTACCACCCCAATGACGACCACCACAACCAACACTTGTCATTTCCAAACTCTTCCCATTTCCCATTCCCACCTCCGTCGTGGATTTCATTTCCCTGGAAATTGATTCTTCTCCATTTCTTCGGCGAGAACCATCCAAGAGCTTCTTGCGGACGTAGAGAGGGAAAAACAGAAGGTGAGAGAGGAGACGAAAAGGATGGGTTTAGATACTACTGATATCGACGCCGAGGATGAAGAGGATTACATGGGTGTGGGCCTGATCATCGAGAAGCTCGAGAAGGAGAAGCTCAAAGACCCCGATGTCAACCTCAACTTGTACGAAGAGGCCATTGACTCGGACACCAACGACGACGATGAACGCTTCACCCCTGACGCCATTAAGAAGCGATCTGACAAGTTCAAGAAGAAGTTCAAGTGGCACGAAGAGCTCCTCAAGAGCTTCACCAACGCTGGTAATATATTATAACTACTGCTTCATTCCTTTTACTTTCCTCACATCCTGAATTTGTATGATATTCATTCGTTTTCTAAATGTTGAAAATGTATGTCCATTGCTGTAACGAAAATTAATTTCTTTTTATCCTTTTTTTTAATTTTGGGGGCCAGAGACGCTTGACGATGCTTTCAAGTGGATGAATAAAATTGATAAGATTGAGCAAAAGCATTTCCGGCTCCGCCCGGAGTATTGAGTCATTGGTGAGTTGATGAATCGTTTGAAAGAAGCCACCGACAAGGACAAATTTTTACTTCAACATAAGCTAAACAGGGTCATCAGATTAGTTGAGTGGAAGGAAACTTACGATCCTAATAACCCCACCAATTATGGAGTCATTCAACATGAACAATTAGGGCCCTCTGTTGATCTTCTGGAACATGCCAGATTTGACAAGGAAAAGCAAATCATACAAGGTGTTGGACTTGATGAGGACGATGAGGAGGAGTTCAACGACATGAAAGAGAAGGATGATATATTGTTGGAGAAACTCAATGCTATGGACAAGTAACTAGAAGAGAAGCTGGCAGAGTTGGATCATACATACCGAAAGAAAGGAAAACTTCTTGAGGAGGGGATAAGAGATCTTGCTGAGGAGAGGAACTCATTGAAAGAGAAGAAGAGAAGACATCTCTACCAGAAAGTAAGTAAAATGCGTCTGATCACTCAGTTTGTGGCCCCTAACCTAATGCTTCTCCATAAATAATGGTTGTCATTTGTTTTGATTAATGAATCATTATTCATTACTTTTACCATAAGGTATCCATAATCAAGTTTTTTTTCTCTTGGTGTATCAAAGAATTGAAAATTTTAGTTTGGTTTGGTTTTTTTCTCCTCTAATTTCTACTCAAATCATTCTACATTTGTTGACGAGTCCTTGATGTATCACTTTCACAAGAATGGCACAATACGTTGATGGTGTTCATCTAGGTTTCCTCATTTATGTGTTGATTGATTCCTATCATTCCTTGATTTTTGAATTTACTTAGTATACAGGGGTACATCCTAGTTGAGCCTGCTTGGACAAGGCTGTTCAATGGAGTAAAGCATGTCCATTTTTGGGTTTCAGGTTGGGAGACTTAAGAGAAATCCTTTTTGGTTAAATGACAAGAGAGAAACTTATAAATCATTTGCAAGAACTACGGAGAGAGCTTTTATGTTGTTGTAGGTGTTATGTGATCATAAATTACTAAGATAAGGCCAAAATTGGCGATCAATAGGGGAGAGGGGATTGAAAGGACAATGTGCATACAACTAAAGTGGGATAGATGCAGTGCAAATTGTTATTTGGAGTGTGGTTGTGGAATACTAATTACCTTAAGACATTGATGTCCATAAGGTCCACCATTCTTGATGGTGCAGATTATTTCACTATCTAAAAGCATATGCTCAATAGGAAGAAGTTGAGATGGATGAAAAACTTATTCATCTCGGAGTAGTTAGAGGGGGCTTCTCATGACACGTGATAAAATCATTTGATATTTGTCGACCTTGTGCAACAAAAGTTAATTGGCATAATCATAGGTATTAAACTCCAGACATGTGGTGAATTTGCTCTCTATGCACCTGATTTTCATGTTTGTGGTCATCCTGTTTTCTAGAGAAATTTCTTGGCCTATGTTCTTGCTTGTCCTCCATTTTTGTTTATCTGTTATTTTGTGGTGAGTTGTCCACATGCATGGCGTGTCTTCCCTTCGATATCATATTATAACTCACATTTTGATCGAATGATGGCATGATTTTAATGTGAAACTAATTGATGTCAATCGAACTTGTAAAGTAACGAAGGTAATATTTAAAAAACTTTCTGCAGGCTATTACCTTACCATGTAGTTGCTGACTATGAGGCCGAGGAGGATGATAAATCCTAGATTCTGATACGACAGGCCAGAAGCTCTCCCGCTCCCAGCCGTGGGATCACAACATTGCTGCCAAAGTTGCAGAATTTATAGCCACATTTGAGAAGGTCCTTGCCTGCAATATAATCTCCTGCAAGCGAGGTCCTGGGGAGTTCCGATCAAAGGAGAGGTTAATGATTGAGCAGGCTCTTCTACAGGAAGAGAGGCAAGCTCTGATTGAAATGCGGGCAGAAATAGGCTCATGGCAGAAGGCAGGTCGGGAGGCTCATGAGGCTAATTTGCGTAATGCAGCCATTGTTCACCCTGGGCAGGCTCATGGTGAGATGATAGTGAATAGGAGTTAATATATATCAAAAAACAATACTAATGGGCCCAAATGAAAATATATATGTTTTTGTTTACAATAATTGAAAAAGGGGAAGAATGATTTTTTCCTTGTGTTTCACTTTCTCCCCCTCATGTCATGTTGGCACTTGACAACACAAAACAAGGGAGCATCAACCCCATCCCATACTCCTATTTTCACCTTAGAATGGGGCCAATGCATACACAATTGTGCCAGAAAATCTAACCCAGACCCAAATAACTCGTCCAATCCAGAAAGTGAATCCGAATCGGTCTGCTACCTACTGTTGCAGTGTAGGTTTAGAAAAGAAACGTGACTTGCCCGTCTAGTGTGGCTTTGATCATGGATTATCATCGACCAAGATTAAAACCCTAGCTTTCCTCTCTCGGGCTCGAAGGACTACACCCTTCCAGCCTATTTTGTTTACCAAACAAACTCCATCTCTCTTTCTCTCTCGAATGGTGAATCTGACACTCAAGCATTGTTGCCCTTGGAAGCAGCAATAGCAATGGCTGAATCAACCATCATCACCAGCAAATCTTGACAATCGTCATGGTCTCATCTCATTCTCACCCAATTACGACTCCATTCCTCCTCCTCTTCCTCTTATCCTCGACCATTATCCACTTTACACCCTTCTTTTCCGACCACCCCAATGACAACCACCACAACCAACACTTATCATTTCCAAACTCTTTCCATTTTCCATTCTCACCTCCACTACGGATTTCGTTTCCTTGGAAATCGATTCTTCTCCATTTTTTCGGCGAGAACCATCCAAGAGCTTCTCGCGGACGTGGAGAGGGAAAACCAGAAGGTGAGAGAGGAGAGGAAAAGGGCGGGTTTAGATACTGTCGATATCGACGTCGAGGACTATGAGGATTACATGGGTGTGGGCTCGATCATCGAGAAGCTTGAGAAGGAGAAACTCAAAGACACTGGTGCCAACCTCAACTTTTACGAAGAGCCAACTGACTCGGACACCGACGATGGCAATGAACGCTTCACCCTTGACGCCATTAAGAAGCGATCCGACAAGTTCGAGAAGAAGTTCAAGCGGCAGGAAGAGCTCCCCAAGAACTTCACCAATGCTGGTAATATATTATAACTGTTGTTTCAGTCCTTTTACTTTCCTCACATCCTGAATTTGTATGATATCCATTCGTTTTCTAAATGTTGAAATTGTATGTCCATTGCTACCACGAAAATTAAATTTTTTTTATCCATTTTTTTATTTTGGGGGCCAAAGATGCTTGACGATGTTTTCAAGTGGATGAATAAAAGTGATAAGTTTGAGCAAAGCAATTCTGGCTCCGCCCAGAGTATCAAGTCATTGGTGAGTTGATGAATCGTTTGAAAGAAGCCACTGGCAAGGAAAAATTCTTGCTTCAACATAAGCTAAACAAGGCCATCAGATTAGTTGAGTGGAATGAAGCTTACGATCCAAATAACCCCACCAATTATGGAGTCGTTCAACTTGACCAATTAGGGCCCTCTGTTGATCTTCTATAACATGCCGGATTTGAAAAGAAAAAGCAAATCATACAAGGTGCTGTACTTGATAAGGACGATGAGGAGGAGCTCAATGACATGAAAGAGAAGGATGATATATTGTTGGAGAAACTCAATGCTATTGACAAGAAACTAGAAGAGAAGCTGGTAGAGTTGGATCATACATTCGGGAAGAATGGAAAGCTTCTTGAGGAGTAGATAAGAGATCTTGCTGAGGAGAACAACTCATTGACAGAGAAGAAGAGAAGACTTATCTACCGGAAAGTAAGTAAAATGAATCTGATCACTCAGTTTGTGGCCCCTAACTTAATGTTTCACCATAACATGGTTGTCATTTGTTTTGATTAATGAATCATTATCCAGTACTTTTACCATAAGGTATGCATAAACAAGTTCTTTTTCTCTTGGTGCATCAAAGAATTGAAAATTTTAGTTTGGTTTGGTTTTTTTCTCCTCTAATTTCTACTCAAATCATTCTACATTTGTTGATGAGTCCTTGATGTATCACTTTCACAAGAATGACACAATACATTGATGGTGTTCATCTAGGTTTCCTCATTTATGTGTTGATTGATTCCTATCATTCCTTGATTTTTGAATTTACTTAGTATACAGAGGTACATCCTAGTTGAGCCTGCTTGGACAAGGCTGTTTGATGCAGTAAAGCATGTCCATTTTTGGGTTTCAAGTTGGGGGACTTAGGAGAAATCCTTTTTGGTTAACTAACATAAGAGAAATTCTTTTTGGTTAAATGACAAGAGAGAAATCTTATAAACCATTTGCAAGAACTACGGAGAGAGCTTTTATGTTGTTGTAGGTGTTATGTGATCATAAATTACTAAGATAAGGCCAAAATTGGCAATCAATAAGGGAGAGGGGATTGAAAGGATAATGTGCATACAACTAAAGTGGGATAGATGCAGTGCAAATTGTTATTTGGAGTGTGGTTGTGGAATACTAATTACCTTAATACATTGATATCCATGAGGTCCACCATTTTTGATGGTGTAGATTATTTCACTGTCTAAAAGCATATGCTCAATAGGAAGATGTTGAAATGGATGAAATAAACCCATTCATCTCGAAATAGTTAGAGGTGGCTTCTCTTGACACGTGATAAAATCATTTGATATATGTCGGCCTAGTGCAACAAAAGCTAATTGGCATAATCATAGTTATTAAACTCCAAACATGTGGTGAATTTGCTCTCTATGTACCTGATTTTCATGTTTGTGGTCATCCTGTTTTCTAGAGAAATTTCTTGGCCTATGTTCTTGCTTGTCCTCCATTTTTGTTTACCTGTTATTTTGTGGTGAGTTGCCCACATGCATGCTTGTCTTCCCTTTGATATCATATTATAACTCACATTTTGATCGAATGATGGCAGGGTTTTGATGTGAAACTAATTGATGTCAATCGAACTTATAAAGTTAAGAAGGTAATATTGAACCTATTGTATGTTTGGGTTCTTCTGAGAACTATGTTATATAAATAGGCTAAATAAAACTATGCGTCATATAATTCCCAAATGACAAGCCTTTTTTTTTCGATCAAAAAATAACGAGCTAAGTAGACTGCAATTTTTCATGCTATCAATTTCATAAACACTTGCTACATACACATACAGCAAAAAATATGCATGCTGAAAACTCTCCATATCTGAGAACTAAACTTCTGTTGTGGATTGCATATTAAGAAAGCTTTGTTTTAGTAGAGGCAAATTCTACAACATTTGCCTTTTTTCCTTTTTGGCTACCCACGAGGCACTCGGGACTCTTTAGAACACGAGACTGGCGAGTTACCCCCACCCCAGCAGTCAAAGGTAACATATGCAATGTTGTGCTTTTTTTTACCGGGCATGTTAAAAGGATTCTCCCTATCTCAAGAAATTATTCATCCTCTGAGTTACAATCTCGTGGAATGGTTTAATTTTTGTTCATATGATCATTTCCAGTCTTCAAAAAGCTTCTAGAGGCAAAATCAGTTCCTTCAAGGCTGAGACAGTCAAAGGAAAGTCTTCATGGGTTAGAAGAAGTGTCATAACTTTTGGATTCGTCACCAGGGTTTCACTGCTAAGTAATATCTGCATGCGTTTGAGGAATAAAGACATTGGAAAATGAATGCAAGACTCTTCCCACCTTGCCTCCAATGTTAGTTCATTCCCGATGTAGCTACAATGCAAGCCTTCTAACTCAATAAACATTCTACAATAGATTCCACAAGAGATTCAAAACAAGATACTACAAAATGCCATGCAAACAAGATAGAGGGCCAAACCATATGCTGCTAGCAGTGGAAATTATTCATCCTCTTAGTCTTGGTCCGATGGGATGATTGAAGTGTCATTTTTATGATCACTTCCACCATCTTTGAAGGGCTTCTAGAGGAAAAATTACTATCTTGAAAGGCTAGGACAGCCAAAGAAACGTCCGTGTGGTAAAAGTGACACAACTCAGGATTCACCACATGGTCTAAATGCTAAGTAAATATAATTTGCAGGTATTTTGAGGAATTGAAACAGTAAAAAAAAAGAATGTGGAGCTATTTCCTTGCCTCCAATGTCACTTTATTCTCTATGTTGCTGCAATGTGAGCCTCCAAACAAAACATAAATTTTTCCATAGATGCCACAAGTGACATGAAGCAAGACAAGATGAAATGCTTTGCAACCAGGATAGGGGGCCAAATCACGTGCCAGCAGTGGAAAAAGCAGCCACCAAACACTTCTAACTTACTGCTATATTTAATTGCCTCAGTGTCAGTTCCGTCAAAAAAGGGTAACACTACTATGTCGCCAACATACTTTTCAGTATGCTACCGAAAAGTAAGATGGGTTGTATATGTGACACGTAACTCTTTCAAACCGGTGAAATCGGTCGTTCTAAAAAAATAGTACCTAGCCTAAAAGAGTTGTAACACATCCAATAGAGTTGTACCTAACCCATAAGAGTTGTACTTAGCCCAAAATAGTTGTAACACATTGTACCTAGCCCAAAAGAGTTGTACCACGTCCAATAGAGTTGTACCTATCCCAAAAGAGTTGTACTACATCCAATAGAGTTGTACCTCATCCAAAAGAGTTGTACTCACATTCAAAAAAGTTGTAACTCTCCATTAAAATTGTACCACATCCAATAGAGTTGTATCTCATCCAAAAGAGTTGTACAATATCCAATAAAGTTGTACTCACATCCAAAAAAGTTATAACCATCCATTAAAGTTGTAACAGATCCAAAAGAGTTGTACGCCCAGCCAAAAGAGTGTTAATCCTATTCTACTATCCATTAAATGTGTACCCACATCAAAAGAATTGTAATCCTACCATACCTTATCCATTTAAGGTTAACTCACATCCAAAAGAGTTGTAATCCTTCAATTAAAGTTGTATCCTATCCATTAAAGGTGTACCTATCCAAAAGAGTTGTAATTCTACCATTAAAGTTGTAACCCACAAAAAAAGTTGCAAAAAATTTGTAAGAAAAAGGAAAAAATTGTACCAAAATTAACATTCAATTCTTCAAATCAACATTTAATTTACCTAATAAATATTTAATTCATTAAATTAACATTAAAATTCAATTAATAAATATTTAATTCATAACATTCAATCTCATCCGATTTATATTCAAATTCATTCAATTTATAAAATTAACATCGAAAATCCTCCAAAAAAGATTTAATTTAACAAATCAACGTCAAATTAACATACAATTTTATTTAATAAACATTTAATTCATCAAATCAATACCAAATTAATATTCAATTCATCAAATTTATACCAAATAAACATTCAATTCATCATATTAACACCAAATTAAAATTTAATTCATCCAATTAATATTTAATTCATTAAATTAACATTCAATTCAACAAATTACAATAAAAAATCATCTAATAAAGATTTAAATCATCAAATCAACATCAAATTAACATTCAATTCAACAAATTAACATTCAATTTCATCTAATAACAGTTAATATTCAATTCATTAAATTTATACTAAATAAACATTCAATTTCATCAAATAAAATTTTTTGGTAGGGATTCCAACTTTTTTGAAATGAGTTATAACTTTTTAGGATGAGCTCTAATGGTTGGGGAAGGGTTTCAACTTTTTTGGTGAGATTTTAACTATTTTGGATAGGGTTATAATTTTTGGGGATAGAGCTTTAATTTTTTGGCTGAGGTTTCAACTTTTTTGAATTGAATTATAACTTTTTAGGGTGGGTTATAACTTTTTTGGATTTGAGTTTCAATTTTTTAGGTACAAGTTCTAACTCTTTGGAGGGGTTCCAACTTTTTTGGAGGTTCTAACTCTTTGGGGTAGAGGTTTCAACTTTTTGGCTGAAGTTTCAACTTTTTAAATTGAATTATAACTTTTTGGTGTGGGTTCTAACTGTTGGGGGAGGGGTTCCAACTCTTTTGGGGTGGATTTTAACTTTTTTGGATAGGGGTTCCAACTCTTAGGGGAAGTTTCAACTTTTTTGGAGGTTCCAACTCTTGGCATAGAGGTTTCAACTTTTAGGCTAAGGTTTTCAATTTTTTGAATTGAATTATAACCTTTTGGGTGGGTTCTAATTGTTGAAAAGGGGTTCCAACTTTTTCGGTAGGGGTTCCAACTGTTTTGGGGTGGGTTTCAACTGTTTTGGATAGGGTTCCAACTTTTAGGGGTAGAGATTTCAACTTTTTTGCTAAAGTTTCAATTTTTTGAATTGAATTATAACTTTTTTGGTGTGGGTTCTAACTGTTGGGGGAGGGGTTCCAACTTTTTCGGTAGGGGTTTTAACTTTTTTGATAGAGGTTGTAACTCTTTTGAGGTGGGTTCTAATTTTTTTGGGTAGGAGTTCTAACTTTTTTATCTAGGGTTCCAACTTTTTAGGTAAAAGTTTCAACTCTTTTGGGAGGGGTTTCAACTTTTTTGGAGATTCCAACTCTTGGGAGTAGAGGTTTCAACTTTTTGGCTGAAATTTCAATTTTTTGAATTGTATTATAACTTTTTGAATTTTTTGAATTGAATTATAACACCAAATTAAAATTCAATTCTTCCAATTAATATTTAATTCATTAAATGAACATTGAATTCATCAAATTTAAAATAAAAAATTATCTAATAAAGATTTAATTCATCAAATCAATTTAACAATTAACATTTCATTTCGAATAATAAACATTCAATTCATTAAATTAACTATTTAACAT